ACAGAGACCAAAAAGCAAAAACCAAGAGCTGTTGCTGTTGAGTTGATTCTGAGTCATGGTGACTCCATGGTGTCAGAGCTGAGCTGAGCCCCACAGGGCTTTCTTGGCTGTGACCTTGCAGACCACTGGGCTGTCTTCCGTGGCACTGGTGGGTGGGTTCGAGCTGTCAACCTTTCAGTTAGCAGCCGAGTGCACACCATGTGCATCACCCGGAGACATGGAGTGGAGAGGAGGGGGCTTCACGTACAGGGGAGAAGAGCAGGATCTGGGCTGGTCAGGAAAGGTCGATCAGAGGAAGAGGGTCCCTGAGACTGGAAGGCTGACAGAATTCCGTGGATGTGGGTGGGCGGGGAGGAAGTGGCCCAGGGTCCAAATGGAGGGGAAGGGGAGAAACATGGGCAAAGGCAGGGGGTGAGCAAGCTCGTGTGGCCGGAGAGGAGGTGAGGAGAGACAGCTGGAGAGGCAGGTGGGGGTGGACCTCCTTGTTGGCCAAGGGCTTGGGACAAGTGAAGGACTTAGACTGGGGAGTGAGGGGCCACTCCATACGTCATAAAACAAAGTGAGGGAGAGGGCCCACTCTGGAGGTGTGGTTCTTCCAGAGGGTTGGACTTGGGGAAAACCCATTCATTTGACTACAGTTGGGAAGCCTAGGAGGGCCTTTGATGGAAATGGAATATGTGGCTGCCGTCCTCCCCTTGGTTTGCCGTGTTCTTCAATTAGCCCTAACTTCTTCCAGCCACCGGCAGGTTCCTTGCCTTCTGTTCCAGCAGACATGGGGACGGTCTGATTTGGGGGTGACCAGGGGATGCATGGAGCTCTGCAAGGCATTTGACCTGAATTTCTGGCTCAGCTGCCTTGCTGTAGATGCTGCTGCTACTGGGAGTGGCTGTCCAGTTGGTTCCTCTCCAAGCTCTAGGTGGGTGGGTGGCCATGGCTTTGCCATCTGTGAAGTTTACGGCTCTCCTCTTGGTTTCACGGGCCAACTTAGACATACATCTGCTGGAACCCATTGGCCATTTTGTGATGTGTGAGCATATGCGTCTGGGACCACCTCTACAAATGTATGTCCTAACTATTTCATCACAAGTCTCTGTGGTGTCCACACTTGAGAATATCGCTGGAAATGAGCCTGACAGGGACATGTTTGGGAGGTCTGACCCACAGGGTTTTTGTTTTTTTTCCTCTGTAGGTGAATTCTTTGTTCATACATAAGACGTACAGGTTAATCTCATTCTTGTGGGCTGCATGTGTTGTGTTGAATCACAGTTGATTTAATCATTTCTCTATTGATGGAATAATAGAGACATTATTAAGCAAGACAAGAGTTTGGAGGTGCAA